TTTTGAGGGGTAGAAGCACGTTAATAAAAATCTTACACTGTTTTTCATTTCGCTCTTAAGCTCTAAAAACCATCAATATTACCTTACATTGGCCTGAGTGCTCTTATCACACCTAACAAAATTAACAATAATTCCTTGATGTCCTCTATATTCAGTCCATATTCAAATTCCCCAGGTCTCTCAAAAATATCTTTTTATAGCTAGTTTATTCTAATCCAATTTTATACAAGATCTCCACATTGTATTTAGTTATTATGTCTTTCCGGTCTTTTTCATTTTTCATTTTTAAAATTTTTAATTTATTTTAAAAATTAAATTTGTTGGGATGACATCGGTTAATAAGATTATATAGGTTTCAAGTATACATTTCTATGATACATCATCTGTATGTAGCATTGTGTGCTCACCACCCAAAGTCGAATCATTTTCTATCACCGTATCTTTGGCCCCTTTCCCACCTCCCACCCCCTTCCCTCTGGTAATCACCACACTGTTGTCTGTGTCTATGAGTTTCAGTTTTATGTCCCATGTAAGAGTGGAATCATATGGTTCTTAGCTTTTTCTGATTGACTTATTTCACTCAGCCTAATGTTCTCAAGGCCCATCCATGTTGTCGCAAATGGCAGCGCTTCGTCTTTTCTTATGGCTGAGCAGTAGTCCATAGTATATATGTGCACATCTTCTTTATCCAGTCCCTACCAAAGGGCACTTTAGTTGCCTCCGTGTCTTGGCCTCTGTGAATAGTGCTACAATGAACATAGGGGTGCAGATCTCTTTGCAAATAAATGTTTTTGAGTTTTTCAGGTAGATACCCAGAAGAGGGGTTGCTGGGTTATGTGGTAACCCTAATTCTTAATTTCTTGAGGAATCGCCATACTGATTTCCATAGTGGCTGTACCAGTTTACATTCCCACCAGCAGTGATGAGGGCTCCTTTTCTCCACCACCTCTCCAACATTTGTTATCACTTGTCTTGTTGATAACAGCTGTTCTAACGGTGTGAGGTGGTATCTCATTGTAGTTTCCCTAATAGCTAGTGAAGCTGAGCATCTTTTCATATATCTGTTGGCCATTTGTATGTCTTCTTGGGAGAGGTGTTTGTTCAGGTCCTCTGCCCATTTTTTAATTAGATTGTTTGTCTGGTGTTGAGTTGTATGAGTTCTTTATAAGTTTTGGATATTTCCCTAGTTGGTTCGGCTCAGTCGTTAGAGTGTCGGCCAGCTGACTGAAGGGTACTGGGTTCCATTCTGGCCAAGGGCACATACCTCGGTTGCAGGTTCAATCCCCCGCCCCAGTCAGGATGTGTCTCTTTCACATCAATGTCTTTCTCCAAAAAACCAATGGAAAAATATCCTCCGGTGAGGATTAAAAAAAAAATTTGGATATTAACCCCTTGTTGGAGCCATTGTTTGCAAATATCATCTCCCATTTGGTCGGCAGCCTTTTTGTTTTGTTGGTGGTTTATTTTGCTGTGCAGAAGCTTTTTAGTTTGATACAGTCCCATTCATTTATTTTGCCTTTACTTCCCTTGCCTTTGGAGTCCAATTAATAAAATATTCTCTAAGACCAAGGTTCATAAGCTTAGTACCTATGTTTTCTTCTATGTAATTTATTGTGAAACCTTTCCTGACTGTTCATTTCATTATTTGCACTCCACTTGAACTCCACACATACAACAGGGAACCAATAACACACTCTTGTGCTTATTTGTTCGTTTATATTTAAATGGGATCAATGTGTAGCACATGACACCTATTCAGTAAATTGTTATGGGTTGTTATTGTTGTTATAATCACAGTCCTTTCTATTAGACTACAAGACCAGTGATCATATCTTAGTTGTTTTTGCCTACCTCAATACCTGGTACATTTCAACTGCTCAATAAACATCTGTTACATGAATGAGTGAATAAATAAAACATATGAAAGGATTACTCCATTCATAGACCCATATTAAGTTCAGCAAAAACATTCTTAAGAATGAGGAATATAAACTAATTCATGCCTTACAATTTACTCATTTGATCAGAAACATAACATGTTCCTAGGCTTAGTGTCCATTTAACACAGTCACTCTGAGTCCAAATGGCAGAGAATAGTCAAATATCTTTTTTATGATTGGCTAGCATTATAATGACCTCAATAACCATCTTTTACCTCCTTTCCATCCTGAGCCTCTCCTAACTGCAAGCACATATTGAGGGGAGGGGTAAGTCAGGAACAGGACAAAGAATGGAGTGAGGCTGAAGTATTAGGTCAGCAATAGAGCTCCAGAATCAGTGAATGGCTATTTCACATAATATTTGGTGATGTTTCTTAAAAGCCGAAACCATTTCGTGACTTATTTTTTAGGCTGTGCCAAAATATTCCTGACATCGCCCTAGCCGGTTTGGCTCAGTGGTTGTGATAGGGGCACTTATAAAGTCCAAAGATTGAATACCTGAATTAATCTGAAATATAATTATATTACTTATAAAACTGTAGAACACATATACTTATGTGAGCAGGGATTTAAGGTTTTTTTTCCTTAAATTTCTTTTTCCTAGGCCTTTATACCCATATACTCTCCTTGACTCCAGACAAAGCAATTAAGGAGGTGATGCATCTGTGAACAATGTATCCTTGAACAGGCATGATCAGGCCAGCCCAACCAAGAGTCAAGATATCATCTTATCGAGACATCTCCAGAAGACCAAGAACAATAACTGATGCCTATGAACCCCTGGGGCTACACAATAGCTGCATGCCATTCCCAGACTCAGTTTACCCCATTTCCCTATACAACCTTATCCTTCAGGCTATTCCCAAAGACAGGTTTTGGATGCTTGTATGCTCCCTGTCTTCTTGGCTGGCCGGCCTTCTCAATAAGTGCCTTATCTGATTCAAGCCTGCCTCCTCTAAATTGGATACAGTAACAGGCAGCCCAGACCCCACCGGGGTTTCCCAGTAACAGTTAGAGCACTGGCCCACGGACTGAAGGGTCTCGGGTTTGAGTCCAGTCAAGGGCATGTACCTCAGTTGCAGGCTCGATCCCCAGCCAGGGTTGGAGTGAATGGGGGAGGCAACCAATTGATGTGTCTCTCTCACATCCCCCCC